GGCTGGTCTATGTCAGCGGCTGAGAGAGAGAGGTGGGCCCTGGAGGTGTACTGGGACAAGACAGGGATGTGTACTGGGACAAGACAGGGATGTGTACTGGGTCAAGACAGGGATGAGTACTGGGTCACAGGCTGGTCTCTCCACTTTTGCTGTCTTAAAAAAGCAGCCACAAGGCTGCCCCGATCATTCATTGGCTGGCCCGACCATTGGCTGGCCCGACCATTCAGTGGCTGGCCCGACCATTGGCTGTCCCAACCATTCATTGGCTGGCCCGACCATTCATTGGCTGGCCCGACCATTCATTGGCTGCCCCGACCATTGGCTGGCCCGACCTACCCTGGAGGAGTCAGTCATCATCGTATCTTCACGGCCGTTCATAAAGATGTCACCCGCCGACACGCGCTTGTTAGATGTGTTCACATTTACCTGAGTGGAGAGAGAGAGAGGGGTTTGTCAGATGTGTTCACATTTACCTGAGTGGAGAGAGAGGGGGGTTTGTCGGATGTGTTCACATTTACCTGAGTGGAGAGAGAGAGGGGTTTGTCAGATGTGTTCACATTTACCTGAGTGGAGAGAGAGAGGGGTTTGTCAGATGTGTTCACATTTACCTGAGTGGAGAGAGAGAGGGGTTTGTCAGATGTGTTCACATTTACCTGAGTGGAGAGAGAGAGGGGTTTGTCAGATGTGTTCACATTTACCTGAGTGGAGAGAGAGGGGGTTTTGTCAGATGTGTTCACACGCACACACAGACACACACACACACACACATACATACACATACACACACACAGACACACACACATACACACACACAGACACACACACACACAGATACACACACAGACACACACACACACACATTTGTATTGAGGGTCTCCTAGTATGCCATGGACCTCGCAAAGACAAGCAAACAAGTCTAGTTCCTGGATTCCCTGACACACCACGACACCTGACTGACACACCACGACACCTGACTGACACACAACACCTGACACACCACGACACCTGACTGACACACAACACCTGACACACCACGACACCTGACTGACACACAACACCTGACTGACACACAACATCTGACACACCACGACACCTGACTGACACACCACAACACCTGACACATCACGACACCTGACTGACACACCACAACACCTGACACAACACGACACCTGACTGACACACAACACCTGACACACCACAACACCTGACTGACACACCACACCTGACTGACACACCACAACACCTGACTGACACACCACAACACCTGACTGACACACCACAATGCCTGACACACCACAACAACAACATGATGGACAAACTGCGGAATATTCCAGAAGACAACGTGTGTGCTAGCCGAGCAGCCCCAAGGTCAGCTCACATTGATGCGTTCCTTGCGTCGATCGTGGCCGGCACTACCCCCTCCCGCGCTGATGGACGGCCGCTCCTGCGACTGGTTCAGGCGGTCTCGCTCCATGGACCGCTCACGGTCCGCCTTGGTCAGACTGTTGGCCCGCCTCACCAACATGCGCGACGAGCGCGGACGTTTGGGGGGGTGGGGCGGGGTGATGGGCGTCGACTGGTTAGACCGCGTGCGGAAGCTCTGGGAAGAGAGAGAAACAAGTAGCAATACTCTGTCACATTATCCAATGAGAAACTCTGTCACATCATCAGACCGTTGGGGAGAGAGAGAAACAAGAAGCGATACTCTATGACATCATCAGACTGTTGGGGAGAGAGAGAAACAAGAAGCAATACTCTATAACATCATCAGACTGTTGGGGAGAGAGAGAAACAAGAAGCGATACTCTATGACATCATCAGACCATTGGGGAGAGAGAAACAAGAAGCGATACTCTATGACATCATCAGACCGTTGGGGAGAGAGAGAAGCAAGAAGCGATACTCTATGACATCATCAGACTGTTGGCGAGAGAGAGAAACAAGAAGCGATACTCTATGACATCATCAGACTGTTGGGGAGAGAGAAACAAGAAGCGATACTCTATGACATCATCAGACCATTGGGGAGAGAGAAACAAGAAGCAATACTCTATGACATCATCAGACCGTTGGGGAGAGAGAGAAGCAAGAAGCGATACTCTATGACATCATCAGACCGTTGGGGAGAGAGAGAAACAAGAAGCGATACTCTATGACATCATCAGACTGTTGGGGAGAGAGAGAAACAAGAAGCGATACTCTATGACATCATCAGACCGTTGGGGAGAGAGAGAAGCAAGAAGCGATACTCTATGACATCATCAGACCGTTGGGGAGAGAGAGAAACAAGAAGCGATACTCTATGACATCATCAGACCGTTGGGGAGAGAGAGAAACAAGAAGCGATACTCTATGACATCATCAGACTGTTGGGGAGAGAGAGAAGCAAGAAGCGATACTCTATGACATCATCAGACTGTTGGGGAGAGAGAGAAACAAGAAGCGATACTCTATGACATCATCAGACCGTTGGGGAGAGAGAGAAACAAGAGGCGATACTCTATGACATCATCAGACTGTTGGGGAGAGAGAGAAACAAGAAGCGATACTCTATGACATCATCAGACTGTTGGGGAGAGAGAGAAACAAGAAGCGATACTCTATGACATCATCAGACTGTTGGGGAGAGAGAGAAACAAGAAGCGATACTCTATGACATCATCAGACTGTTGGGGAGAGAGAGAAACAAGAAGCGATACTCTATGACATCATCAGACCATTGGGGAGAGAGAAACAAGAAGCGATACTCTATGACATCATCAGACCCTTACCAGCCTTCTCAATGAGGAAAAACTCAGAATTTTTGGTGCAATGGTCCGCTGTTTGCCTGGCATTCCTAGGACCGGAGTTTGATTCCCACATGGGGAAGATATTTGATTAGTTTCCATAGTGGCGTCGGTGGCATAGTGGCTAGGCTTTTGGACAAGTAACCACTCAGTCATGGGTTCGAATCCTGTCAGAGACCAAACATTGTGTGCTTGGGAAAGGCATTTTCTAGGAAGTTTCCTCACTTCACACAAGTCTGATGGGGTCACACAAGAGATGTTCTTTGATCTGATGGGGTCACAAGATGTTCTTTGATCTGATGGGGTCACAAGATGTTCTTTGATCTGATGAGTCACAAGATGTTCTTTGATCTGATGGGGTCACAAGAGAGATGTTCTTTGATCTGATGGGGTCACAAGAGAAATGTTCTTTGATCTGATGGGGTCACAAGATGTTCTTTGATCTGATGGGGTCACAAGATGTTCTTTGATCTGATGGGGTCACAAGAGAGATGTTCTTTGATCTGATGGGGTCACAAGATGTTCTTTGATCTGATGGGGTCACAAGATGTTCTTTGATCTGATGGGGTCACAAGATGTTCTTTGATCTGATGGGTCACAAGATGTTCTTTGATGGGGTCACAAGAGAGATGTTCTTTGATCTGATGGGTCACAAGATGTTCTTTGATCTGATGGGGTCACAAGAGAGATGTTCTTTGATCTGATGGGTCACAAGATGTTCTTTGATCTGATGGGGTCACAAGAGAGATGTTCTTTGATCTGATGGGTCGCAAGAGAGATGGTTGTAACACGCATAGAGCGTGCTGAAGAGCCTAGAGATTTCAAAGAGATTTTTTTTTAAGATGGCAGAGCTAGGAAGTAGAAATAAAGAGAAATGCATGGTAAAAATCTTCCCCTGACCATGAACAGTCCCTTCCCCTGGGGAGTCTTGGCAAGGACGGGGGTTAAAGGATAATGGGTCTGTCGGGGTCTACAGTTAGCTACACGTGGCGTAGTGGCGTAGTGGCGTAGACACAGACAGTCGGGTCTAAAGTTAGTTACACATGGCGTAGACACAGACAGTCGGGTCTAAAGTTAGTTACACATGGCGTAGACACAGACAGTTGGGTCTAAAGTTAGTTACACATGGCGTAGACACAGACAGTCGGGTCTAAAGTTAGCTACACGTGGCGTAGACACAGACAGTCGGGTCTAAGGTTAGTTACACATGGTGTAGACACAGACTGACGGCGTCTAAAGTTAGTTACACATGGCGTAGACACAGACTGTCGGCGTCTAAAGTTAGTTACACATGGCGTAGACACAGACTGTCGGCGTCTAAAGTTAGTTACACATGGCGTAGACACAGACTGTCGGCGTCTAAAGTTAGTTACACATGGCGTAGACACAGACTGTCGGCGTCTAAAGTTAGTTACACATGGCGTAGTGACGTAGACAGTCGGGTCTAAAGTTAGTTACACATGGCGTAGTGACATAGTGACGTCGACTGTCTGCGTCAAAAGTTAGCTCCACGTGGCGTAGTTACCTCGACTGTCGGGGTCTAAAGTTAGCTACACGTGGCGTAGTTACCTCGACTGTCGAGGTCTAAAGTTAGCTACACGTGGCGTAGTGATATAGTGACGTAGTGACGTCGACTGTCGGCGTCTAAAGTTAGCTACACATGGCGTAGTGACAAGTGACATAGTGACACAGACTGTCGGGTCTAAAGTTAGCTACACGTGACGTAGTGACATCGACTGTCTGGGTCTGTCATTTTGTACCCCCGGGGTTGTATTCTCCACATCGTAGAATACTTCCAGTACAAAGATCTCTTTGAAACTTTCAGTATTTCTCAAAACATCATTTTGACAGACTGCTATGCAAAGCGTATGGATTGGATTAACGAGTCAATTTACTCTTTGGAAAGTGGTGGCACAGAGTTCCCCACGTCGTATGGATACGATAGTAAAACATGACGTACGGATAGGGTTAAGTGGTGGCACAGAGTTCCCAACGTCGTATGGATATAATGGTAAAACACGACGTACGGATAGGATTAAGTGGTGGCACAGAGTTCCCACATCGTATGGATACGATAGTAAAACACGACGTACGGATAAGGTTAAGTGGTGGCACAGAGTTCCCACGTCGTATGGATACGATAGTAAAACACGACGTACGGATAAGGTTAAGTGGTGGCACAGAGTTCCCAACGTCGTATGGATACGATGGTAAAACACGACGTACGGATAGGGTTCAAGGAAAGAGTTATCATTGGCAAGCACAGCCTACCATTCTGCTCAAGTTATCCTACACAAACACGGCCTACCATTCTGCTCAAGTTATCGTGCACAAACACAGCCTACCATTCTGCTCAAGTTATCGTGCACAAACACAGCCTACCATTCTGCTCAAGTTATCGTGCACAAACACAGCCTACCATTCTGCTCAAGTTATCCTACACAAACACGGCCTACCATTCTGCTCAAGTTGTCATACATACACACAGCCTACCATTCTGCTCAAGTTATCGTACATAAACACAGCCTACCATTCTGCTCAAGTTATCGTACATAAACACAGCCTACCATTCTGCTCAAGTTATCGTACATAAACACAGCCTACCATTCTGCTGAAGTTGTCGTGCACCTCGCTCTCCTCTCTCATGAGCAGCCCCAGACCACTGGGGAGGGGACTGTTGGGGTTGCTGGTGAGTCTCTGCCTCTGATGCGACATGATGATGAGCTGGCAGTAGTGCAGCTTCCTGATGCGGGCGTAGTCCCAGGCCGTGGCGTTGAAGCTGTCCACTACATTCACGTCAGCTGAGGGGGCAACACACAACACACCATGTATGATTGTCAGCTGAGAGGACAACACACAACACACCATGAATGACTGTCAGCTGAGGGGACAACACACAACACACCATGAATGACTGTCAGCTGAGAGGACAACACACAACGAATGACTGTCAGCTGAGAGGACAACACACAACACACCATGAATGACTGTCAGCTGAGAGGACAACACACAACACACCATGAATGACTGTCAGCTGAGAGGACAACACACAACACACCATGAATGACTGTCAGCTGAGAGGACAACACACAACACACAACACACCATGAATGACTGTCAGCTGAGAGGACAACACACAACACACCATGAATGACTGTCAGCTGAGAGGACAACACACAACACACAACACACCATGAATGACTGTCAGCTGAGAGGACAACACACAACACACAACACACCATGAATGACTGTCAGCTGAGAGGACAACACACAACACACAACACACCATGAATGACTGTCAGCTGAGAGGACAACACACAACACACCATGAATGACTGTCAGCTGAGGGGACAACACACAACACACAACACACCATGAATGACTGTCAGCTGAGGGGACAACACACAACACACCATGAATGACTGTCTGCCACATGCAGTGAACGACAGAAGAAAAACAGGAAGAATGAGTCCTCTACAATCAGTGAACGACAGAAGAAAGACAAGATTAGTGGCACAAACTCTTTTGGTGATGGGCTGGATTAGCATGGCCTAAGTCAGTGACACACAGACGCTACAAAAGTTGGATTAGCATGGCCCAAGTCAGTGACACACAGACGCTACAAAAGTTGGATTAGCATGGCCCAAGTCAGTGACACACAGACGTTACAAAAGTTGGATTAGCGTGGCCTAAGTCAGCGACACACAGACGCTACAAAAGTTGGATTAGCGTGGCCTAAGTCAGCGACACACAGACGCTACAAAAGTTGGAATTTTCAGTGGACACAAACCGGTAATTGTTCATCTGACTGGGTTCATTTGACTGGGTTCATCTGACTGGGTTCATTTGACTGGGTTCATCTGACTGGGTTCATTTGACTGGGTTCATCTGACTGGGTTCATTTGACTGGGTTCATCTGACTGGGTTCATTTGACTGGGTTCATCTGACTGGGTTCATTTGACTGGGTTCATTTGACTGGGTTCATTTGACTGGGTTCATCTGACTGGGTTCATTTGGCTGGGTTCATCTGACTGGGTTCATCTGACTGGGTTCATTTGACTGGGTTCATCTGACTGGGTTCATTTGACTGGGTTCATCTGACTGGGTTCATTTGACTGGGTTCATCTGACTGGGTTCATCTGACTGGGTTCATCTGACTGGGTTCATTTGACTGGGTTCATTTGACTGGGTTCATCTGACTGGGTTCACAGTTCCAATGTTGACTACCTGACCAAATGTAGAGATACGATTTATAGAATTCTAATCTAGCATCATTCTAGAAGGTTCCTGTCACTTGTGTTGATAGCACCTCAAAAACAAGCTTTGTCTTCTCCACACCATCCCTCATATCAGCATGGGGGGAGAGAGAGACAGAGAGAGAGACAGAGAGACAGAGAGAGAGAGAGAGAGACAGAGAGAGAGAGAGAGAGAGAGAGACAGACAGACTGGCAGAGTCTGTACAGACAACCTGACATCAGTATGGAGAGACAGTCTGTACAGACAACCTGACATCAGTATAGAGAGACAGTCTGTACAGACAACCTGACATCAGTATAGAGAGACAGTCTGTACAGACAACCTGACATCAGTATGGAGAGACAGTCTGTACAGACAACCTGACATCAGTATGGAGAGACAGTCTGGCAGAGTCTGTACAGAGAACCTGACCTAAAACAGCACATCCAGCTAACACATTTGTACATAGCATGTACAACGATTACTTGAAAAGTAGTTTTCAAACTTTCAACTGGTAGTTCCTTCCTTACTTTTCCCGCTCTTTGCTCCATTCCGTGGAAAATTCTCTATACAAGACAAGATCACTGAAACCATTCCCAAGACAAGATCACTGAAACCATTCCCTAGACAAGATCACTGAAACCATTCTCTAGACAAGATCACTGAAACCATTCCCTATACAAGATCACTGAAACCATTCCCTATACAAGATCACTGAAACCATTCCCTAGACAAGATCACTGAAACCATTCTCTAGACAAGATCACTGAAACCATTCTCTCCACAAGCTGAGGAACACAAGCCCCTCCCACAAGACAACAAGCCCCGCCCATCACCCCCCCTCCCACAAGACAACAAGCCCCGCCCATCGCACCCCCCCTCACCTCCTTTCTCCAGCAGGAAGTTGACCACATCGCCGTGGCCACCCATGGTTGCCAGGTGCAGCGGCGAGCGGCCTTGGTTGTCCTGGTCCATGATGCACCGGTGTCCGGCTATCTCCACGATGAGGCGACAGGAGTGAAGAGAACCTGGCAACACACAGACAAGGGTAGGTCAGTAGGGGGTCATTTCCTTACAGATGGCACAAAACATATGCAATGCTCATGCTCTTCACCACTGCAAGCATAAGACACCAGTTCAAATCTCACATGAGAAAATTATTTCATCAACAGGTTATATGATAAAGTGTACAAGGCACAATGACCGGTCACCAACGGCCAGAGAGATCGTCTACAGAAACCAAAGGTTCAACACCACAACGCATCCACAACACACCTACAACACATCCACAACACATCCACCATCCTGCCAACACACTCTGCCAAAAACAAACTTTTCTGAATGGTGGGAAAATCATAAGCTGCTTTTAAATGTGAAATAAACCAAAGAACTTGCTGATTTCAGAAAAAAGAAACTGCCCCTGCAGCCACTCAAAATGAAATGTGAAAACATGGAGCAAGTGTCAGACTAGAAGTATTTGGGTGCTACAATAGACAACAAACTCAACTGGCAAGTCCACACTTCTCTCCTGCATACAAAAGTGACCATGCGACTTGCCGCTGCGATTAAGGCTACACAGTACACAAGTGCTGCGCATCCCTCTTTTTCTCCATTATTTTTGTTACAGCAAATCCAAGAGCAACTACAAGAAAGACAATTTTTCCACCACTTTCCTATATTTCCTGCATCTGAACCAAATATCTAGCCGGTACTCAAAGTCTGTGAAATATTTAGGAGTATTTTCCTGTAACTTTTGAAGGTACGACTGTTCAAACATTTCCCTTTTCCCCCCTGCTCCGTGACCTGCTCCCCCACAGGGTTTTCAAAAATCTCCAGTCTCCACACGTCTCCTATGTTCCTAGATGTCTCCACACGTCGTCCTGTGTTCCTAGATGTCTCCACACGTCGTCCTGTGTTCCTAGATGTCTCCACACGTCGTCCTGTGTTCCTAGATGTCTCCACATGTCGTCCTGTGTTCCTAGATGTCTACAAACGTCGTCCTGTGTTCCTAGATGTCTCCACACGTCGTCCTGTGTTCCTAGATGTCTACAAACGTCGTCCTGTGTTCCTAGATGTCTACAAACGTCGTCCTGTGTTCCTA